CTATCCACATCACCTGTAAGTTAGCTTTATTTCTATCTATTTAGTTTTAGTGCGAACAAATGCTATGAAAAGAAATTATAGTCATAGGACACGTGACAATTATAGAGTGGTAATATCACTAGCTAACGTGGTGATATTGTATCACTCTATAATTTCTCCACACAACTAGTCAATCACATTTTACAATAAGACAAGTCGGTCCAATTAATGTAATATTAATAATGAGTACTTCATATGATGTGATGTATATATAAATCTCCACTTTCTAACCTTCACATATAAACGGTTGCCAACACTACAACAAAATTCAACATGGGGCAATAAATGTTGTGTACCTTAATGTCATTAAAAGTCTTATACATTTAATGGCAAGTCTTTGATATTGATGTATATGTTATGTTTTACAAACTTATTTGATAGCTTTCGAAAACTCATTTGACCTCTAAGGACACGGTAGAACTACTACCCTTTTATTCTTTGACATCCCCTTATGAGCTCTGTAGATTAAGTTTTCAAAACGTGCATTCAAAATTTTCATGTTGTTATCCACAACATGAATATGAGCGTTGTCATGTTGAAACTTTGAAGGATGTTTATTTAGTCAATTATCTATTAGTTTATCCCAAAAAATTGAAAAGAAATGCATTGCATGATGGGGTTTAACTAATTTAAGTTGATTATATAGCGAGATACGAGTGTAGAAAATATATATTAATTAATAAAAGAAGATGAAACACACCATAATCATTTATCTATAATGATTTACTAAAATATTTTATGCTTTATACATTACATTTTAAGATACATCATACATGAGTGACTTAGTACCACATAGAGTTCCTATGAGGTTCAAAATTTTCACTATCTTCATCATCTCAATATTATCGATATTATATATCGCGATATCATGATAATTAGTTTTAACTTCTCAAAGAATTGGAAGGGGTTCACTGGAGAGTTTTGAGGAGAGAGTCATAAGAGCAACTGAGGAGTTTTTCCTTTTTTCTTAGAAGTCATTTTACAAAGAGGTAAATTTATCTTGAAATTTTTTAAGATAAATCGAGTGGGGAAATAGGACAGAGAGATGAAAATAGTAACACTTTGTTTAAAATGTTCTTGGACTTTTTTTAACCACGTGGAGTGCTGTAAACTAAGCAACTCTTCTATATTATTAGTCAATCTGAAATTACCAACACAATTAACATAAAAAGGAGTACAAACACATAGAACATTAAAGATCCCATGGCCCAAATCTTAGAAACTAATCATCGAGATACAGAGCAGCTGCCAATTCCTGAACTGAAAGATGCAAACTCGAATATTGTTACGTTAAAACACACAAAACATATATATCCACTGCAAGTTATAATCATCGACTTGAGTATTATTTGATTTTATTGTTAAAGGCAAACAAGAAGCCAATTCAAATCAGTCATGGGCTACGCAGGTGGTTAACAGGTTATTCCAACCCCAAACCGGGTAGAATCTTCAATTGCTGGACTTGTTTCTGAAAAATATTTTAAAAGACAAAAGTATTGTAATTAACAAACAGAACTTCAATGTATAATTTATACGTGTGGCTCAGGACTCTAACTTGGGATGATTTAAATGACTTTACAGTCAGCCAAGGGCAATCCAAATAATTGAAGTTTAGGAAAGTCAGTGCAAAGATAGAAGATACTTACGTATATTTGTTACATCTCTCCTCGACGAGTAGCATCCTTGCATGATCCACACCTCCTTCTCGTATGGACTCTGCAAATTTCTCTGAAACACTTTCAAATGTGTATCCTAGTAGTTTAGTAAGGTGCTCAATACCCTGTGGCAATGTCTCTAATCCCAAGAACCTATAAATGCCTAAGAACTCCAGATTTGGCATCACCCCTTTTTCTATAGTCATCTTGTTTAATAATGAGAGATTCCTCAAATCCAAAAACCTAAGCTTCACAAAGTCTCTACTGAAACACAACTCTTCCCCAACATAGGAATCTCTAAGCCAAAGCGAAAGTAGAGAGGGCAATGCTTCAATATGAGGTAGTAAATCTTCTTCGAGTCTGGACCCATGCAGATGCAAATATGTGAGACACTGGAGTGAAGAAAACCAATGTGGTACTTAAGGCAAGTCTATCAAGGTAGGATAACGGTGAAGACAATGCATCAACTCGAAGAAATTCCTCTCCATCTGCTACCGATAAATACAAGTTGGAAAGGACCTTCATCTCTTGAAGTGAGGCACATAGGCCCTTCTCGTCTCTTTCTTTCACATTTGAAATGCCAAGGGACGTCAGCTGGGTCATATTTCCAATAAGTCTAATAATGTTTCTCAATACATCCCAAAGACTGCAATTTCTTCATCTTACTAATACTTGATGGTATTTTTACCCCAACTACCTTTGAACCGCTTTTGGAAAACCCTATAATAATATGGCACAGGTTTAGCAACATGGAAATCCCTATTGTAAGTGCCTTTATATCTATCCACATGAGGTCCGAGGTTTGAAGGTTGCGGAGCCGTCTTATGGATTTTGGAAGCTCCTTAATTCGAGTTCTTCTCAAATTCAAATATTTTAAATTAAACAAGTATGTTGGTTCATTTGGCAGACAATCAATTGGGACACCCTCCGAATCTAGAACCCTCAACAATGTAGAGTCAAAAGGCAATTTCTTTGAGAAAGAGAATGAGGATACATGTGCGTGGTCCAATTTCTCCAATCGTTGTTTGAATTGACAAACGGAGGGCCCCGGTTTCTTCCATTGTTTCACTCCCATCAAGAACGACACAAAACTTTACTTTTTCTGCTGTAGAAAAAGCAATCTCCCGCATAAGATCGTGCATCTTACATGTTGGTAGGTATCGTAGACACCTTTCCTCTAGCATGTTACGAAAAATGAGTTCCATAACATAGCTGCTTGCAACTTCTTCTGGTGTTACCCCTTTGACATGTTCATCAAATCCTTCGGCGATCCACAATTTAATGAGCCTTTTATTTATGATCACCTCATCTTCTGGGAAAGGGAACAATATAGAAAGCATTGCTTCAATCTATATGGCAAATCCTTGAAACTAAGCAACAAGATGCTCTTTATAGGTTCTGACAAAGAATTGCTTGTTAGATGCCAATTTAAGCTATTGTAGACTTTGCTCCAATCAGTAAGTGACTTCTTAGAAGACATGAGAGCACTTAAGGCTACGATTGCAAGAGGCAGACCTTCACACTTTTCCACAAGTTGCCGAGCTAATGGCAGAAGTTCCGGTGAACAAGATTTGTTATGATAACTTGAGAATGCTTTCATGCTGATGAGCTCCCTAGCATCTCTCCTTTGCAGCGGTTGAATCTTGTGAACATGGCTTTCAACTCCAAAAGCATATGATCCTATGTCCTCTCTTCGAGTTGTAAGCATGACTCGACTTCCAAGTCGTTTATCTGGAAATGAGCAACTCCAAAGAAGGATATCCCACACGTCATCCAATACAACAAGGTACCTTTTAGTCAACAAGTAGTTAACCAAAATCTCAACCAATTCGATATAGCACATCGCATTCATGTCTGCAGAGACCTCTTCCCTCCTTGCTTTGTGGAATTCTTTGATCAATCTTCTCAGTAAGTCTTCAATCACATAAGATTGGGAAACAGTAATCCAGGCGTAACATTCGAAATGTTTCTTGACTACCTCGTTGGTGAAAGTCCTTGCAACTAGAGTTGTCTTCCCTGATCCTCCCATCCCGACCACGGAGACAACAGTTTGGTGTTGATCTTTGTTCATCAGCCATCCCATCAACATTTTCTTCTCGCCTTCAATCTCGACGAGTTCATTCTCCTTATGGTAAAGAGAAGACTCTGCTTGGTTCTGCGCCCATCTGCGAATATCCTCAGAAGTACTTTTTCCTTCTACGGCTGCAGCACCACCATGTCTCTCATTTCTCTCTGGAATAGCTCTAACCGTTCCGGCAATTTTCTGTAACTTCTTGGCTATTTGACACATATACCAAAGGTTCTTTGGAAAGTGAATGGTTTTGAGGAGCCACTTTGGACATCGACCGCCCCTTTGTTGCTTGTACATGTGATACAGGAATTCATCAATGATGTTTTCGACATCATTGGCTAAGTCTCGAATGCTTGCAACCCACGCTTTCTCTACTTCTGGGTGTGCTTTCTTGCCGCCGTCAGCATCCTCCAAGAAGGCTTTCAGGATCAACAGCTCCTGCTTAATCTCATCAACTTGATCATGAACGCCCGCTATGGATGCTGCTTCGCTCTCAAGAATGCTTACAAATTTGCCAATGAAGAGTTCTGTTGCAACTAACGCCATAATCAAAATAACATATGTTCATATTGGGAAAAGCATTTCATTTTGTGTGGGTTGGGCTCAGATGCACTAGAAAAGAGAGATTATCAATAATTAATGGAGATTCACTAATAAAAAATTGGGAGGTTCACTAATATACCCAAAATAGGAGCTGAAATTATAAAAAAACCCCACATGGAATGCACTTTAGAAACACACCCAAAATTCATTTACCATATAAGAAATTGGTGTTGAAGTTCCTATAAATTACAGGACTGCCACTGATGGCCACCAGAAAAAAAAAACAAAAAAAAACTCAAAAAACACCCAAAACAAGCCCAGCCCAATTTTATAAAAAAGCCCAAACATTTTTTTAATTTTCATGGAGGTATCAGGAATGGCTTAAAAGTGGCGTAATTTGGTGAACATAACAATTTGACAAGAATTTTAGCCTAACTAGAGAATAGGGATATATACCTCTTAAGTAAATGGACTGAGCATTCATATAGGAGTTCGAACTTGAATTTGAATAAAATGATCAGAAATAACAAGTAAATTCCCCTAGTATGTCATCTCAACCCCTACGATAGACCAAAAATCTAACACAAGGGGAAAAATGTGAATTTCTGTATTCTTAATCCTACATAGGATCTTGCAAACCCTTGAATACAATGTGGTAATTATCATGTCTGCTGAGCCCCATCCAACAGTTATCAGCTTCATCACGACTACTTGAAACTCTATATCATAAATCAATCTTCACAATGAAACTATATATTAAGTCATGGTCTCGACAGCTTTCTTGGCAAATGTTTCAGCAACCAGCAAAGGGAAAGCAATTGTTGCATTGCAATGTACCTGGTTAACCAATCAAAATGAGGGAAATTAAACAGAGGGATAAAACGCTGGAAGGGTTAGCATTTGGTGGATAGAAGTATATATTATAATGCAAACAAAAATGAGAGCTAAAAGGGAATGGGCATAGTGAAGATATGACATAGGTTAGGTAAATACCTCAGTTTTAGCAGAACCCCGTATTTTCCCCCATGATACAGCCTCATCCGGATGAGCTCCAGAATCACTCCCATCAAACTTTGGTGCAGTATTGATGAAGACAGCATAATCCGCACCATTACGCATCATGTTGGCATTGCAAATGTGGTGTTTGGGCAGGCCCCCTCCGAGAATGATCATTCCAGTCTTCCTTGGATTTGCATGGACAGCTTCGCCGTTCATGGCCCTAATATCTATTCCAAGGCATGCTATCTTGTGATTACATTTTCCCAAGTTAATTATCAGCTGCAATGAAAAAGTAACGAGCAGCATACCTTGCACTACATCAACGATCAGACCTAGACTGCGGAAAGAATGAAAGTAAAACATGTCTCCCAGTGAGCCATCTGTTAAGCCTGGACAGAAAACTGCGATATTGTTCTGGAAAACAACCACAAAAATACACTAAATGCTACTGCAAAGATCACTGCCACTATTTTCATATATACAAGTAGAAGATAATAAACATTCCAATAGTACTCTTGCATAATTTTGATACACAACCCCATTACTAACTAACAGTAACATTTATCCACCAAATTTAGACTTCAAAATAAACAATACCAACATGATGTACAAGCTTAAGAGCTAAACATAAAATGCTCGATTCTTCTGAAATCCTATTTCTAATGCATGTCTACCCATTATAAAGTTCCAGTATAGGGTAATAACACTGCTAGATTCCTCTGAAATTCTATTTCTAATGCATGTTTACCCATTGTAAAGTTCCAATATAGGGTAATAACACTGCTAGATTCCTCTGAAATTCTATTTCTAATGCATGTTTACCCATTGTAAAGTTCCAATATAGGGTAATAACACTGCTAAATTCCTCTGAACTCTTATTTCTAATGCATGTCTACCCCTTGTAAAGTTCCAATATAGGGTAATAACACTGCTAAATTCCTCTGAACTCTTATTTCTAATGCATGTCTACCATTGTAAAGTTCTAGTATAAGGTAATAACACTTTCTAATGTATGTCTGTAAAGTTCCAATATAGGGTAATAACACTGCTAAATTCCTCTGAACTCTTATTTCTAATGCATGTCTACCCATTGTAAAGTGACAGTATAGGGTAATAACACTGCTAGTTTCATATAAAATCCTATTTCTAATGCATGTCTACCCATTGTAAAGTGACAGTATAGGGTAATAACACTGCTAAATTCCTCTGAACTCTTATTTCTAATGCATGTCTACCCATTATAAAGTTCCAGTATAGGGTAATAACACTGCTAGTTTCATATAAAATCCTATTTCTAATGCATGTCTACCATTGTAAAGTTCTAGTATAAGGTAATAACACTTTCTAATGCATGTCTGTAAAGTTCCAATATAAGGTAATAACACTGCTACCTAACAGCAAATTATAGTCGACTCAAAAACCAATAGTGCATAAACAGAAAAAACACGAATATACTCAGATTCAATTGAAAAAACATACCTCAATTAATATGATAACCGAATCAAATATCACAGATTTGTAACCACAGCTCAAACCAAAACACAACCAAACCGAATCTGAAATCAATCCAAATTATAAACAAAAAGAAATTAAAATCACAATTTAAAACTCAAACGAATATCTAAATACAAATAGAATGAAATCAGAAAATCCAATAGCTTATCTCCAAATTGACAACAACAAAAGTAAACATATAAAATCAAGAAGAATTGGATCTACATTTCAAATTTAAACTCCAAAACTGCAAAAATTATGAAAACTTAACCAGCAACTTAATTAATCGAACATGAAATCACCCAAATTAGACTACAATAAAATCGAATACGAATTCAAATTTTTTTTTAAAAATCAAATACCTCAAAATCAAAGATCACAGATCGAATAGGATTTTATATTGAGCCAAGTCACCAATGCACCATGAGCCATTTCATCCTCTAAATCCGCCAAGTCATTGTCCATTTGCTCATGTTGCAAATCCTCCAAATTTTTCACAGATCCCAACATATAAAAGACGAATTAATTAGAATTAGAAGAAATAGTTACCTTACACAATCAGAATCCTTGACTTCATCATTCTTATTCTTTTAGAGAGAGAGAGAGAGAGAGAGAGAGAGAGAGTTACTTGAGAACAGAGCTTAGGATTTCATCGTCAAAACTGAGGTGGAAGAACAAAAACTGAAAATTGGGGTTGAAGATGAAGATGAGAGATTGTAGGTCGTGAGTTCTGATCTGGTGTTTATTAGGAAATCCAATTTCATGTTAAAAGGGTAATAAAGGTATTTCATCTTAATAATTAAATTAAAAAATATACAGCTGTTGATTTTTGGGTTTATTTTGGGTGTGTTTATATACATTAAATAGTATAGGGTTTTTTTTATAGTTTTATGTCTAGAAATGGGTATTTAACTAATTTTCTATAAAAAATTTCTCTCTTCAGGAAGTTTATTTGAGTGCAATAAATAGGGACACAAAATTCAGCCGTTAGATCAACTTGAACGACTGAGATTAAAACCTAGGTTTAAAAGAAACGGGTAAAATAAAACCCAATCTACCCGACTGAGACTGAGACACATCCAACCGCAGTCATCTTCTCTTCTTCCTCTCTCTCTCTGGGGTCTCTGCCTTGTTCTCTTGTATTCCTCTCTCTCCACCAGATCAACACCCTTTACCCTTCTCTTTCTCTATCTTCTCCTCCTCACTCATCTACTCCATGTCTCTCATTTTTTTCCCATAACCCAAAACCAAATCAACAGCCAGTCTCGTAATCATATTAAGATGATTTATTTTTTCTATTTCAGGAATTGAAGGGTTGGGCTTTCGTGGGAGGAACTGAAATTCAAAGAAAAAAAGGAAATCGGAGAAAGTGGCGAAGACAGAGAGAAATAAATGAGGGGAAAATGAGAACAAGAGTCAAAAAGTGCATCTGTGCTCCCATGACTCATCCTTAAAGGTGGTGATCTAGAAATCCCTCTTCTCTTCCATGACATTCCAAACTGATTTATTTTTCTCTTTCAAAAAAATAGAGGAAATAATAATTTATAAAGACTTTCTCAAAAATTATTTATGTTAAAAGTGAGGGAGTACACTGAAGTTCTGTTTGCTGGATTTGTTTTCAATTTCTGGTCTTTCATTTGCATCTGAGTTCTGGTTGTATTATATTTTCTTTCAATAAACTGTTATCATAAAACATCATACAATACTTGAGTTTGAGTCCTAACCTCATAAATTGTTATCATGAATAACTCAAATTTTGAGGTGGTAGTCCTAATAACTACAAGTGCTAAATATTTCATCATCCGACACTAAAAGCTAAAACAGAGCAAGAGTTACAGAAAAAAGCCAGTGCACCAGCCAGCCAGTGTGTGATTACCTCAGTGGTAGAGGTGTTTATTTGCAAAACCCCATGGCACCAGTTCGAATCCCCTTGTGTGCGCCTCCCACCGCCACCCTAGATTAGTTGATATAGCTCTATCTTTAAAAAAATATACTGAAAATAATTATAAATAAAAAAGGCCAGAGCACCAACATGATCAACATGCTGCACACATACATCTAGCACATACAAAAGGCTTGATAGCAACATGAGCTCCAACACCATTTCAATTATTACAAGCTTTCCTTGTGCTTCCAACTCACAATTTTGCAGCTTGTAGTTAAAGAATCACAAAAATTGTAGTCAACCCCCAAAGAATCTCACAAAGTTGACAAACACTATAAACAAATCACAGAAACATAAATAAATAATTAGAACCAGGATGCCTTACATAGAAGCAGCTGGGTTTCTTTAGGTCCTCTTCTGTGTCAACAGACTATCTTCATCAATCAAATATCATCATTCATCTGAACTAGACGGTAGTAGGTTGTGCTAAGTTACATAGGTGGTCTGCGAGAAATCCAAGTAAATCCATAATGTGACAATGTGACCGTGAATAACGAATTACCTTATGCCTTTCCCCTCTGGAAGAATCAGAGGCTTCAAGGCTCTTGAGATTTCCCCTAAAAACTGCTCACTTAGAATTTCAATCGATCTATATGTTGTGAAGAATAATAGTTTCCCTCTTTCCGTAAAGCCAAATACAAAATATTTCTATTATAAATAACATATAAACAAATTGAAAAGCTTTGAAGGTATAATGAAATTGAAGAAAACAAAATAATAGGGAAATAAAAGGAAAATAAATAATAGGTAAGAAGGTGAGTTTGGTACGGTGAAGCACGTCAAAGACGCTGTCCTAAAGCCTTTGTAGCCTCCCTACGTGCAGGTACTGACGGTCTACAAGACTCCAAGATACGACCCCTTGTACACAAACTTAAAATCTGCTATGAGCACGTTCATAAATAGATATAGGTATCCAAGTCACATAACCATTGCCCAAAATAGTAATAATATAAAGTAAAGAATATATGTAAAAGTAGAAAAGGAAAGAATTAGTTTGTGGTGGTGATTGTGGTATGTGATATTCTGATAGTGTATTGTGTTTCTTGTGTGTATATCAAATGTGAAGGAGGAGTGACCTTTTATAGGCATCCAAAACATGTAACCTTCACCAACCATAAAAGTTCACCAACCAAAAAATTAAGCCTGAATATTAAATATTTATAACCCCCACAATAAATAAAATAAAAAAGCCAAAATAATTAAATAAATAAAACGGTTAAATTTTTAAAACCTTTTAAAATTCCAACAATCCCCCACAAGGTTTTCAAAATTTTACCTTGACGAAAAAACGGTGAAAAATATATATAATATATATAGGCAATATAATACTATGTAATAGGTGTAGGTGCCTTCCGGGCTTGAACCTACACTTAGTGATGATAGTCTCCATTTGAGGAACCTGAGTGTACACAGTATTGAACTCGGCACCTTTGACCAAACTTCAACA